TTATTTTTCAAAATTTTTATTATTATTTTTTTTTTCTGTTTTTTTCCGGTTGGCTTTTTCTCCAATCTGAAATTTTGTTCCCTTTTCCTTTTTCGGTTTGACTTTTCAAACTGAATTTTTTTTTCCTAAATACATTCTTTCACCATTTAGGTTTGGATCAATGCTGCGGCGTCATGGTTATTACCTTTTTTTATAATTAATAATTTTATAACAAAAACTTTTTTACAATTCCCGATTCTTATTATTAATAATAACAATATTTTTTAGGCTGTATCAAGCTCAATAATAGACTACCATAATTACCGTACTTATTTTTTGTAACAATCGATCGTTATAATTAATATTTCTGAGGAATTCTTTATTTTCATGACAATAGAAGTTTTTCAGAATTTTTTTTCATATTAATTAGTGAGATAATTTTTTTTCTATAACAATAGATTGCTATAATGAATTTCTTGAGATATTAACAATATTTTATGTATTTTTTTTTTCAGCAGAAGATGTAATTTTTTTAATGCTACAATGAAATTTTTTAAGATAAAAAAAAAAGATTTTTTGTAACAATGTAACAATAAACTACTTATACAAAATTATTTTTGTAAATGTACAAATAGATCATAATTTCATAGTACTGCAACATTTGTTTCATATTAAATAAAATTTGCATTTAATAATAACACTTGCACACAATTCATTGTTATTTAAATAATCATATAAATTGTGTAATTTATTATATTTATTCCTACTAATACCATCATAATAATAGTAAAATGTGTTTATTATTACTCTCATCCCTGGCGCAGCGCGACGGGCTACATCTAGTTAAATACAAAAAATACATTGAAATTGGCGATAACGTAAACGTTAACTCCAAATTTCTCCATATCAAAATCTTCGTATAATAAAACGAAGTATAAAAACCATCTATATAGAGCTATTGTATTGCATTCTATGTCACGTATTTTCCCCATGATTTTTTATTATTATAACCTACGTCATCCTTACTATTTTCTATCATTATATTTTCGTATCACCTCATCACTAGTATCATCTCTTTTTATTTTTCCTTTTAAGTTCTTTTATAATCCCCAATTGTTGTTCCAAATCAATCGTATCACTACATCTGTTGTTCCAAATCAAACGCTGTATTTTTTGCATGTATACATCAAAAATTTCATTTAATATTTTCCTTTGATCTTTTAACTTGCACGCTTGCCACCACTTTATGTTGAATAAACCTCTTGTTATCTCCCTAATCAAATTTTCAGTTTGCATTATCATAAATCTTAATACCCCTGTTTTCAAACAGACTATCTTTAAATCGATCGATTGCTTCGTTATTTAGACAATTGACTTATTTAACACTTCTTCAACGCTGTTATTTGAATATTTCATATTCTGTGTTATTAACATCATTTTTACCACATATCCAAATATGTTCCCACGTTTTTGTTTCAATTGAGCACCGCGGGCATTTGTTACTGCTAATTCCCCAAACTTTACGGTTCCACAACACCTCATATGTTGGTAAAATCTTTAGGTAATTCTTAACTCTAAAAACACCTTGTAATAGCATCTTCTTTATTTGTAACTTCTTCGATGTTGTTATTTTCATTATTGATTAATCTAAAAGAAGCGCTCCAGTCTATCGTAATATTACCTCCATTTGAATGACAGAATCTAAGAGACAGCAAGTCTATTTCGTACTATTGTAGATCAACTCTTTAAACCAAAATTTATATGCATGTTCTATTGGAATATAATTCCACCTCAAACTATATTCGTCTACCAACAAATTATTCATCTTGAATTCTATTTCCTTAATCGTTTGTTCACAACTAATTAATTCTTTTTTTATTGCTGGCACCTTGACATCTTGTATTGCTTTTTGCGTTACCATCTTATCGTCTTTACTAACATATGTATGTTTTTTAACACTAATACCGTATTGATAAAATTTAAGCATATATATAATTTATCGTCTAACTCTCTTCGAACACTTCCTATTTTACTATATTTATATAAACAATCAATTATTTCCAAGTCTGTCCTTATTTTTGTTTTTATATCGCAAGGCAATATAATTATTGCAATAATTAACGCTATTATATATACGTTTCGCTCGTCCTTTACGAACCTCAATATTCCATCGAAATTAAATTTATAAATATCGCTACTTTTCGGTATTAATTCCATCCCCAAAAAACCATCTAAGCATAGCTCATCTCCCTTTTGTATCACTGCTCCTATATTAACTATTATTTCTTTATCTACTGTATAAAGCCATTCATCAACAAAATTTCTTAACGTTTCCTTTAATTCGTTATCCTCCAATATAAATTCTAACCACATCATACTATTCTCTACGTTATCTATTTTATTATTATCTATCATCATTTTTTTTAGCCTCAAGCTCGCTCACCTCTCCTATATTAGCTTCAATAGCTGTTTCATTTTGTATTTCTATATTTTCTGTCGTCATATACGGTTTCATGACGTTCTCGATTTCATTATTTTTTAATTTTTCTTCCTTTTATCATCGTCGCTATTTCTTTTTCTATATATACTAAACACTTCCCTATATTACGTTTTCTACTAATATCGTATTTACACCCTTACAATCCATTAAGAACGGTGAATTGTATTTCGTATTTTCTGTTTCTAAATCTTCATGTAATATCAAATGCTTACCAACTTCATCGTAATTCTTACTTCTTGATTTTTTACTCTTAACGCTATATATGTAGTCTTTTCCTTTTTTCCACATTATTATTTCTTTGTTGCTTTCTTTTCTCGTACTAGTTGGCAAGTCTTTTCTCAAAACTATATCTTTTCCATTAAATTTCCTTGCTATTATATAACTTCCATTAATTGTTCTATATTTATCGTCATTTCAGATAAAATTTTATACCATATGGTTCGGCTCCTTCACACGAATTATTCATTGCCAGAAAATGAGACCATTTCATGCATTATTCTATTCGTATATGGCTCGATAATTGTTCTAAGAATAAATTTCTCTATATTTCAACCTTTAATTTCATTTTGAACTATAAGCTTGTAGTAAAAACTGCTCATTAGAGTATCGAGTTTATTGATAATAATAATTATAAAATCTTCTTTTTTGGAGATGAACTGTAATTTAGTTTATAATTCAATAATTTCTTTTTTGATTCATTAGCTTATATCATCAGGAAATTTTTACAGGTGATATATAGCGATATATATCACTTTATCGATATATATCCCATTATTTATAAAATGTGATATATATCGATAATAATCGCACTCGTCGAGTATCGATATGGATAAAAATGATAAAATCATCAAATTTAAACCTAAATGATAAATATCGATATTTAACAAATAATAAACAATCGATATTTAACAACAATCGATATTTAACTTAAACAATAAATATCAAACTTTACACATCAAAATTTAATTTTATTTAATTTATTATAATATACAAATAAAACGAAATAAAAATATAATAAATACAACATTAAATATATTTCTAATTAAATAAAATAAAATAAAAAGTCTGGTTCACAACAGGATGTTGCGAAACCAAAATGGCAGAATCCAAAACTTATACACCAAATTTCTCATGTCTAAAGGCCCAGCCGTCTAGAAAAAAGAGAAAGACCTAAAAAATTAAAATTTTTATTTAAAATAAAAATAAGTTTCAAAACAAAGCCTTCGAAACTTACTGATTCAAAGTGGTTAACCTAAAAAAAAAAAAGGAAAAAAAAATTAAAAATTTTATTTTAAAAAAAACAAGTTTCGAAATGAAACCCTCAAAACTTATCAATCCAAAATAAAATTTCGAAGCTGATACATACCTAAAAAAAAAAAAAAAATTAGAAAATTTTACTTTAAAAAAAAGCCAAAAAAAAGTTTCAAAATGAAAAGAAACTTTTGAAACTTACCGATCTGAAAGAAAGATTGAAGCTAATATATGCCTAAAAAAAAAGAAATTAATTAAAAATTTTTTATTTTTTTTAAAAAAAAAGTAATAAGTTTTGAAACGAAACTTTCAAAACTTACTGATCTGAAGCGCAAAACCAAAACCGATACCTAAAAAAAAGGAAAATTTTTTTCAAAAAAATATTACTAAAGTTTCGAAAGTTTTCACTTCGAAACTTACCTATCCAAACTCCAAAGCCCAAAAGGAAGAAAAGCCAATATCNTTTTGATGATCGTTTAACTGGGAGTCTATGGGGCACTTTATTTTAAAAAATATAAAAAAAAATTGTACCACTATATTTCAGAGAGTACGACAGATTACCGAATAGGAAAAGGCTATTGTCTGTTTTTTACTCTACGATAAAATGATCATTAAAATTTTTTATAGTGAGACTTTTTAATCTTCACGCCCTAAAACTCTGATTAAGCAAACAGATAGTTTAATCATTATTTTCAGACTGATATTAACTGATTGTCCGGAGCGAAGCGAAGGACTATATATGTCTACGCACTATGATGATCTATGGAAATAACGTGTAAATTTTCAATCACGTGAGTTTCTCTGTCCAGGAATTCCAAGGTGTTATGCTGCTAATCAGCAGAAAATTACTGGAATTCCAAGGCCTTATGCTGCTAATCAGCAGAAAATTACCGGAATTCCAAGGCCTTATGCTGCTAATTAGTAGAATATCGCTACATCTTTATTTATTATACCTCGCTCCGGACTTACAACGGTTCCCGTTTCCTAGTATATTTACTAAACTGGCTTAATCGAATTGTCAGTGCATGTGTAGAAATATAAGTATAATTTTTTGTATTTAAAGGTCCTTCTGTTTACATTATTTTTTAAGAAATACTAACAAGATCATTCTCTCATTATCTTAGAGCAAAATGAGCAAACCTGAATATTACATCAGTTACAATGATAAGTTTTTGTTCGTCCCTAATCTTGTATTTTTCTACACGGACTACTTTCATTTCCACATACGACACCTTGGAAAGAATTTATAATATCGCCAAATACTTTGTCAAATAAAATAAACCACTTTTTTTATACATTTTTTATCATATAAATCTATTTTTTGACTTTCCAGAAATGGCCTTTCATTTGAGAAAATATAGGAACTGGACATACTTTAGTTTCCTTTCTTTCCACCATGATGTTATTGTAATATCATCATTTTTGAATGGCTTGAATCGTAATGATGATGTTTGGGTTAAACAATTTTTAAGAGAAGCGAAATGTTTGGATCCAAATAATTTTACAGCAATAGAAAAAGAGGCACGTATTTTTATTTTGCAAAGAGATGGCAACTCTGGGTTACCTATAATGCTAATCAGGAGAATTACTGGATTGACAAACTTGGTATCCACTCCAAACTCTCAATTCAGGCATCTGAACTTTGTATTTGGTAAAGGTCTGCTGGGTTCTGGAGGAGGGACTTGGCTATGTGTCTCTACTAATAAATAAAAAAAATTGCTAAAGTTCACTAGCAGTGATGGCCACTGTGTGATGTTTAGCAATACCAAGTTGGTGCACACTGCTAATAAACTTCTTTTTTATAACAAGCAAAGCAAGACTGTTCACATTATGCAAAAGAATTGCAAACATTCTGGGAGGGGGTGATTGAAGAATGTGGTGAGATAAAAAGAAAATGAAAGAATAATAAGAAAGAAAATATTTCATCATCAAAATACCCCAATCTATTATTTCTTTCATCTGTCTTCTTAAAGGAGATACATTTGCAAATGCTTTTGAAGTTGACATTGAGAAAAACAATAGTATTTGCAAACTTAAGGACATTATCAAGAAGAAAAATACACAAACTTTGACATAAAAGACATTAGGCTATGAAAAGTGAAAATTTCTGATGATCGTGAAGATCAGCTAATTAATCTTTCATTGCAAGACAAAGATGAACTTCTTGCAACAAGAAAGATTTTGAAATACTTTTCTAGCTTACCCCCAAGGAGCATGTCCATGTTATTGTTAAGTTGTTATGTAAATGTTGGTACAGCATGTACAGTAAATATTTGTCACTTGTAATATTCACTCAATATGTCTTTGTTTCTAGTTCTAAGCCTAGAAGAATATGAAGCATTGTTGTATATTCCACCATCAATCATATCTAATGATTGTTTCAAATCAAAGAATACTACAAGGGTTAATGTTGACTCACCAATAAGTATACTCCTTTGGGAAGACTTTTTCAAGGAAGTAAGTCACTTCTACTTCAAGGAACACCCAAGATTTGAGAGGCCAAATTTTGTGGTGAAAGAAATAATAAACAAAGAGAATGTTCAAGATATATTTGACTTTAATATTTGTCAAATATTAAATAAACTTACAGGACTGGATTACAGCTATTCAAGGTGAAAAATTCATAGTAATGCATACCAGACCTCAATTGCCACTATCTTGCGAAACTATTAATTTTGGTTATTGAAGTCAAAAGAGAACATATTTTGCAAGATATCAGTGAACAGACATTCCCTGATTTTTACAAAATGAATAGAAAGGCAAGAATGGTAGTCCAACAAATATATAATTATATGGGAAAAAATGAACTGAAATATGGTATTCTTACCACCTATAAAAATCACTAGTTTCTGTGTCAAGAGCACACAAAGCTGTGGATTTCAAAAACTCTGCCATTATGATCAGTACTTAAGACATATGTTTATATAGCTTAACTTGCAAATGAAAATCCTCAATCCTTTCATCCTCTTTGAATACTGGCACCAGCTTATGAGAATAATAATTCTCGTATTCTTTGATCTCACTTAAATTCCAGCCAACAGTCAAATTCCAGCACATTGTAAATCTTATGTATTTATGTTAGTAGGTGAGTTTCAAATTACTTTGAAACTGATTTTTTAATTAAAGAAACTGCTTAATAACCATTCAAAAGATCGTTACTATACATAAAAAAATTATTATTGAAGAAGTAAATATTTAGTAAATATGTTTTTTAAATTTGGCATATATGTTTTTAAGATTTATTAAATGATCTTAACGTTCACCAGTGGTGAAATTTACCCAAGGTAAAGTTCACCTATATTACATAATTTATTAAAATTTAATTGTTTTGTTTTGAAAAAACTAATAATTTTATTAATAAAAATATTTATATAAAATATATAGTTTAAATATAATAATTTATTCTACAGCCAAATAGGATCATGCTTTTTTCATCATGCTGATATTTTTTTATTAAATGATAAATAAACTACTATTGCATAATTATTATTGATATTTTTGATGTTGTTTAATTAATACTAGTTTATTGTAATTATAAGATGATCATTGGCGGCTGCAGAATAACACAGTTATTTGATAGGGGTGTTAAAATATCATCTGAACTGCCTCACAGTTCAGTGATATTCTAACTCCCCTATTAAATAACTAATATATATTATACAATAATTCATAAGTTAGTATTATTATAAAAAATGTGATAAATCTTACAAGTATTAAGTAGATTTTATACTGCTAAACAACTTTCAATTAATAAAGGAAGTAAATTTCATTTGACTAAAATGGTGAAATTACACTCTAAAGTTAGTAAATGGAAAAAAGAAAAATTTGAAAGTTAGTACCATTTATATGAAAAATGTAGATTTTTCCATATGTATTATATCTATACCCATAAAAATTAATATACAAGTAGTTTTGACCTTGCTGAATAATTTTCAATTAATTTAGAAAGTCAATTTCATTTGACTAAAGTGGTGAAATTACACGCTGAAGTTAATAAACAGAAAAAAAAATTTGAAAGTTAGTACAGTTATTTAAAATGTAAGTTTCTCCATATGTATTATACCTACACCCATGAAAATTAATATACAAATAGTTTTGACTTTGCTGAATAATTTTCAATTAATTTAGAAAGTCAATTAAGTCGATTTCATTTGACTAAAGTGGTGAAATTACGCTCCGAAGTTAATAAATAAAAAAAAATTTGAAAGTTAGTAC